GAAGATCAAGCAAAAGAGTTCCAAAACTGTAAACCACGCTCTCCGGGATAACCCTTCCTGCCATTTTAATGCATCTAAATTAGCTCAGCCAAAGAAACAATACATGTTTCATGAGCAACAAAACGAACCCAAAATTAAAAGGACATACTTTGCACTATATACATAAATCTTAATAATATAACCGACAGTTGCAATCTGTTCAAGAGTTCCATAAACTTTATCTATCAGCACGTATTTTACCTGTCCTTAGATACTCTGGAGGGGTGAAAGCCAAGTTTGTACTATAGCTTTTTCCATCTCTGCAGTTCTTCATAAGGCCAAAGCTAGAGAGTCTGGGATTACCATCCTGTCAAGAAGTAACCCACTGCTGTAAGCAATTATGTACAAATCTAAATGCAAACATATGAGCTAAGGTCCGAATACGTATGGTATAAAGAATAAAATTACCTGATCAAACAGGATTCTATAAGCATTAAGGTCATGATACAAAGCTCTCCCTTTACTGCTGCAATATTCTAGTGCCTGCGCTAGATATAGTGCGACTCTCAGCCTCATTGGCCATTTCATATGCTGATTCTCCCCTACACCATTTCAACAGAGTACAACAAAAAACAATAGCATAATTAGTAAGATACAAAGATATCCATTAGCAGCATATTGAAGGAAATGAAGACTCTGAGAGACTGATACTTATTTGCTAGACTATAATCAAATCCCAGTATAAATATTATATATACATGTAAACTAGATGAAAAGAGCGAAAATTACAGTGAAAAAGATGCTTAGAGAGAGTCTCATTAGGCATAAACTCAGCTACTAACAATCTCTCATCTCCTTCACAGCAACAACCAATCAAATTTCCTAACCGATCGGTTCTTAACTGTCCAACTGCTCTCGCTTCCTCCTGGAATAACGCCAAAAAGAAGAGAAAGCGATAATTACAAACCAACCAAAAAAGAAGAATAAAAACTGCAGTAAAAAATGGAAAAGTAAATATATTTATATACATACGAGGAACTGTCGAGGGTCAGGCCAAGCCGATCTATTGAAGCGTTTAACGGCGATCAAACGATCCTCGTCGAGCTTCCCTCGGTACACTACATTGGGAGCTTTCTCTCCATGCTCCGATACAATGTTGTCCGTCGAGAAACCTGAAGTGGCAGCTCTTAATTGATCCAAGCTGTACTCGCTGAATCCAGGTAAAGCTTCCTCTCCATTCTCTGATTTGAACGGAAACCAAATAAATTTTAAAATTTATGAAACAGAAAAGGAAACAAATTTGAATACTCAAATATTTTCTCGAGAAAGTGACGGAAACAAGTTAACTAACTAACCAAGATCGGAAGAGTCGTTGAAGTTTGACTTGAGATTTAACGGCCACCAGCAAAGTGATATTTTGGAGCAACGAGCTCCCATTGGCTTAACCCTCAATTTTCAACCAAACTCCCCAAGAAAAAAAGTTGGTTCTTTTCGCCTTTCTTTGCTTTGAGCGTGATGGAATTCGTGTGAAGGACAGGTAGAAGAACGCTACTGATAGTCCAGTACCAAGCAGGGGAGAGCAAAAGTTGTGTTTGGGAAGCGAGAAAGTAAGGGGGGAAAAAAAGCTTTTAACTTTTTGGATCAAAGGTTTCTTCTTGTTCTTCCCCTTTTTCACCACCTCATCATTCCTTCGTTTCCTCACCTTTTACATTTCATTTCATTTTCACGTAAAAGATTTCCCCCTTCTTTTCTCCCTTGATCATAAACCCATTCTTTTCTTACCGCGTGGATTCCATCATCCAATGAAGTTGATAACACTGCAATGGTGTGTACGTAAACGAAGTGAAATGGAGAGTGAGAGAATGGGAGTCATAACGGGAGTCAAAGTCAAAGATAAGGATTAAACAAATAAAAAAACATTTATTTATGCTTTAGATAAATCTTTACAATAATAAATAAATAATGCAAGTGTTTTCAGAAAATAAGATAAGATCATGGTGTAAAAGTAGTAATGCTTGTATTTAACAGAGTAATGTCCTTTAAAAAAATCCAACAAATATTATAGAGAGTTTTTTTTTAATATTATAGAGATTAAATATGATAATGGTATTTTTAATTAAATTTATTTTATTTCTAATATTAAGATTCAAATCATAAATCTTAATATAGTGTTTCACCCTGATATTTAATTTTGTTTGCTACTTTAATTTGTAAGGTCCTATAGATAGGGAAGGTGAATTTTTTACTAATATGGGTAAGTACAAAGAGTATATGTTTAAAGATAACTCTCAATCATTTGATATTGAACTCTCACATTTCAGATATTCCTAATATTCAAACTCAATACCACAAGGAATAACAACGATTCGTTTACTATCGAGATCGCTTAGCTAAACTATTATAAACATCTAATAAATTCAAGTATTTGAGAAATAATATAATTGTTACATTTGTATATTTTATTATTTAATTTACACATTTTTATTCATTAAATTTAATTCGACAAATATCGTCCGTACATATAATTTTATTTTCTTTCGTAATAAAATTTTCTTTTGAAAAAGTCGAATTTGTTTGCTCACTATCCTAAAAGAGATTTATTTCCCTCGTACTATTTTCAGAATATGCAATTTACTTTTGAGTTGGACCTTAATATTCATAGAAAATGTGATTAGTGCGATAATTTTCAATTTTCTTAAGATTATTCCATTAATCTTGACATCTATGAACACCAACAATAATCTAAACTTAAAAATCATTATATTTTATATTGACATTACACTAATATAAACATCATAGATATTAATGTCCAAATAAAAATATATTAGAAAATAATCACATGAAACATATATAATGGAAATACTTAACTTTTACAATAATAAGGGGAAAAAACCCTAGTGCTCCCACTATAATTTTCAAACATTTTCTACTTATTCCAATGAATAAAATATTTTGTGGACATTGTAAAGTGATGAATAAAGCTGAAATGATGACTCCTGGACTTGAATTTCAAGCAAAAATGAATTGAATATTGGGGCAATTACATTATCTAGAACTGTGACTCCTTGCCCTCTAAAAGAATAGTCAAGCTTTCGTGGGTGCTTTCATTGTTAATTATGAGATTGGATATAATAACATCAACTGAGCTCAAGGATTTCAGGTTCCCTTTTGCAAATAATGTTTAAAGTATCAAAAGCTCCTTTTAATGGGGGAAAAGGGACCCCATAATGTCTTTTAATAAGCACACTGCAACTTTTTTCATAACAAATATACATTAAAGCTTCAAGTTAAGTCATTTACTTCTTTTAGAAGTTCAAGAACTTTTTTTATGTTAATTTACAATGTTTTAAGTCACATTCAACTTGAAACTGATTTAATGAATATTGAGGTTGAAACCTGGTCAGTATGGGGTTTTTTTTTTACCCTTGGATCTTGCCCAACTTTTTCCAGTCAAATTTGACAGAGAAAACCCAACAACAACACTGTGGTCTCCCAATTCCGAAGAGGAAAGAAAGTAGGTACAATTTTATAAGGGAAAACCCACATGGGGGAAGCTTAGCACTGGCAATGGCAAACCCCAAAATATTAAATAGAACTTTATATTTTTCTGCTAGAATTTCAGCACAGACACGAAAGATCCCATCTCAGGATCTGTTGGGCAACTTTCCAACAGTGTTAAACAGGGTGGTTTTTCTTGGAGTTGGGAAGCATGACACCGATGGTATCATTTTAACCCCGTTAATTAAAAAGAAGAGAGAATTATGTTTTATTTCATAGGACCACTTGAAATAATGGATATAAGCATGTTCAACAGGGGAAACATGTCCGCATCTCTTAGCCATTTATGTGGTTTATTATGCAAAGATCTTTTTGCATTCCTTATTTATTATGAGGTTGGCATGGCAGCTTCAAAACATCAGTCATCAAAAGAAGGAAACATGGAACTGAAATATTTTATGATATGTGATCTCTCTCTCCCACTGTTGCCTGGTGGATATGGGCTAAAACAACAGTGTAAAATGTAGTGAAGTTGCGGCAAACAGCTTTAAAAACAGGCTTTTTAGGCTGCAGTTGAACTAAGACACAGATACAGAAAGAAAAAGTGCATGCAAACTGGGAAATCAAATAATAGATCTTTTGACGATGGGAGGTCAAGTAAATCAGATAAGGCAGCAATTCCAAAGATTGGATCGAAAAAGGAAAGGGGAAACAGTAGGCTTTGATGGTGAAAGGAAATATGAAAAGCATGTGACATAACAAGTGCTGTCTCCAATTTCATATCCTATTATGTATAAAAATGTAATCGTAAAATAGTAGAAAAGGTGGGTGGTGGTGGCAATGGCAATGGTGGGACATCAGACAAGAAGCATAATTCGATTGAATCATTGGATCATGCCAGCTTCATATTTGCCAAAAGAGAAAGCCATCTCACATGCACTCTAATCTTGTCACTGTGCTCAAAAAGTTGAAGGCCCTGAATTTCGACTTCACAGTACCAGGCCCTCAGTAACAGGGAGGGATGGACCTATGCAGTGTGTCCTGAAAATTTAAATTTACTATATATTTTAAATTTTTATATATTTTTTAATTAAAAATTTGTTTTCCTCCCAACTGAAATTTTATAAATTGATTTTATAAGTTAAAAAATTCTGCGTCCGTAAACCTTACCAGCTTTGAATCTGTACATAACTAAATCAGTCAACATATTCTCCGGATTCATCTATGAATGTGAGAGACAACCTGATATAAATAAAGCGGGTATGGAGCGAGGATTAGATAAGGGGAGGGATTAAATTATCTAATTTCAAAGTTGATGGGGACCTAAGTAATATTGAATTCAAATTTAAGATGAACAAGGTTTAATTTGACAGGCATTTAAACTAGTAGAGACAAAAATTATCTGTCATTCTGACGTTTTCAGCAATCAAACTACCACCTTAAAGTTGAATCAGACCTAATGTGCCACTCTGTTGGATCGTATACGGAAAGCATAATTCAAAATTGGTCATCTTAAGTATTTCATAATCGCTTGATTTTATATGCACGCTTACAATGATCAAAATATTTTGCTTGTACTACAGATGATATTGAATCATTTGTCATAAGTAGATCAAACTACAATGCTCCAAAGCTCGCAGGGAACCAGTCCGCGACTACTATAGACAAGCCTTTATTCTCCATTGGTGACCCTTACCTTACCGGTGACACATATTTCACCGACATTGCCCAACCAATAAACCAGATATATATATATATATATAATTCTATCTTTCACTTAATTACATCATATCATTCGTAGTGTCGAACTAGACCCTTCCGACTGGGGAAACAGGTGGATATTGGACATATCTAGCAGCAGTATCACCTTCTATAGGATTAGGAGCATTTAATCTTCCATTTAGTATGTTTTTCCCCGAAGTTCTTTCTTCAGAGGTGGTTACTGGTTCTGGTTCTGAAAGCACACTGTTTTTCCTACTATCCCAAACTGCTATACAAATGGAAAATGCTTGCATAAGTGAGAGCGAAGAATTGAACTCAACTGAATAGATCCCATCCTTGAAAGCGGCCAAACTGAAAAATGGCTTCTTGTCTTGATCTCCTCCCTGATAGAGTGATAGTTATGATTACAACATGGAGAATTCAGTCAACATTTTCAAATACAGTGGTTATGACAGTTTAATTGGCATAAGATCAACAATTATACCTGAAAAAAGAGTTCGAAATCAGATCCATGACTGAATTGGCTCTTATTGGAAAGAACCCCAAGCTTGCAACCTAAATCCCAACCACCACAATCACATGCTCCACCTGATTTCCATCGTTGGATTAGTGATGAAGGTTCACCTTTATTTGGCACGCTATGTACACCACTTGGAAGTATGACTGCAGCACTAATGTCTGGACCATCCATAAGAGGACCAATTTTCCCAGAATCAAATTCAAGTTTCACCCCTGGTCGACGCTCTTTTAATGTAGCCTCAGCCAAGCTGTTACACTTGTCAATCAAGTACCCATCTCTGATTGGAATTCTTCTGTTCCTTTTTGGGATCTTGACAACGATAGCTGCCTGCTCATTTCTTGACTGGAAATCAGAAGCTTGTGGATTTGACTGTCCTAAATCCAAGGTAAGAAGAACAAATTCTCTGATGCTAAATTGATCCACATAGTTCGGCCTGGACAAATGAGAAAACTCGGAACCAGAGACCTTCATCTGGGCAACAATATTAGGGACATAATCCTGACCTTTGCCCTGATTTATCCACCTTCCATTCTTTTTCTGACTACTTGAATGGAAAAGAATGTGTAAATGTATCCATAATCACCCTTCCCTGATGCACTTGACATCTTCACAGTAGCTGCAAGAATATTACTCTCGTTATCAACAGCAAACGTGAACAGAGGCAACCCATTCTTAACTTGAACTCTTAGAAGAGCTTGAACTGCTGAAGATCCACACACTTTGTTTTGTGTTGAATCATTTACATTGTTTGTGCAATGGCTCGCCATATCTGATTTCACTTTGGCTGACTGCAAGTGCAAAGCTGAATGTCTAAGCTGTTCTGATGATTTACAGGCACCTTCTGTACTATTGAGTCCTGCAATTGGTTGGTAAAATTGCGACAGTTAACTGCCTTTGGTTTTAGAAGCGGGTCTAATAATCTTCTCAAAGGACTGGACCTGCTTCTGCTTTTAGCATTGAGTTTGTCACCACAACAAGTATCAACACCAAAAGAAACAGCATTCTGAGGATTTTGTAAATCTGATTTGACAGAATCATGTGTTAAACCTGCCTGAGGTATAGAAGTACCCTCTTTGGCCAAGAAACTTTGCCAGCCTTACCCATGCTGAAGCTAAAACGACAGAAGGTGAAGTGCTTCGTACTTTTTCATATGCAGCCTTGCTTCCCTTAGCGTCTGATCCTTTCCAAGCCTCATTTGCATTAGGCTTTACGGTTGTTTCATTTGACCTTCTCTCCTCTAGATTTCTGCTTCTGGAAGAATTAGATTCAATCCTTGTTGCACGAGGTACAGAATGAGATCTTTCTGATGGAATGTTGTTTCCACTTGAATTGAAACCCGTCACTTTAATCTGAAAATGTTCACTGTCATCAAGCTCATAAGGCAATGGGCCTGAATGATGGAAATTGGAGCTGACTGCTGCATGTTGAACCTCTTTAGATGTTTCCAGGAAGGTCCTCTGTCTAGGTTCTGCTTCTTTTGACTTGACTTTGCTGCTAAATTAGAAAGGTCCCCTTCTCCTGAATGATCCATGTTGGGCAGATCTCCTGGCAAAAGGAGGACAACTGTGTTTCTTTTTTCAGTGACAATTACTTTATCCCCGTTTGGAATAACTTCTTCAAACTTCTCAACTTTCTTCAGAACTTCACCAACTTGGTTCTTCATTTTCACCTTGTCATATGATGCCGCATAATCTTTTACCCCATTTGGCACTATTGAACTTGCTGAACTAATCTTTGGGACTATTTCCATTCTCTTGCATTTTTCAAACTTCATTCGCGGATTAGTTTTGCAAAATGATTTACCTTCTCTCTTGAATTTTCCGTGAGCCGCGAAGCTGGTGCTCTCTGAAGCCTTGGGATCTTGAAGCTTTCCAACACTTCCCCTGGAAGTTTTTTCAAATGGAAAATGGCCTTCTACAGGGACTGACATCAGATGAGTCTGCAGGGAAGGAGGTTGTAACCTTTGACTGGCAGGAGACCAACTATGACCTCTGCTCGAACGTGCTGATGATTCATCTGTCGAAAACGAGGAAGATGTGTTGCTACTGGGTGAAGAGATACTTCTATATAAGATCTGTTTATTGCTACACTGCCATTTTTCAAGGCGCCCCCACGGAAGGACCCCAACATTTAAAACTTTTTCTTGGGGGTTTGCTCCTCTCTCCAGGTAACTTGGTAGATGTGACATGTACTTCACAAGCTCATCTTCTTTATCTGCCTTGAGATCAGTATGTTGTTTTGTGTGCTTCAGTGAAGAATCAACTGACACGTCTCCACCTTTCAGAACTTCATGATGAAGATCAGCATATGACAAATTAGACTTTTCAGGTTTAAACCTGCCTTGCTTAATTGCCCTATGCCTTGCTTGGGGTAACATGGTCTTTACAAAAATTCCAAAGGATTAATCTCTTGAATTCCTCAGAAGCTCTAAATGCCGTTCCATAGACTGGACAGGTCTTAATCACTCGAGATCCTTTTAGCTGCACAGTTTTAACTCTGTTCAAAATGCAGACCACTGTGGAGATGAAAACAAACATTGTAAAACAATTTTACAATCATATCACTAATTGAAAACAACTGTATCACATGCGTAGTGGCATAAGGTTCTCAAAACAAGTGAGCTTAAAGTTCGAAAACTGCAGCAACCAATAGAACACATGTCCAAAAGAAGCAAGCATTGATTCATTTAAGTCTTAACCATGATGAAGCCGTGACATATCCACATGAATGAAAATCTCTGTTGTATCAACATCTTCAACTAGTCATTACCATTTAATAGCTGAACATTTTCAACATAAAAGCTTTTTTTTTTCTTTCTTTCTACAATGGTTATATTACTTAACAGAAACTTACCATACTCCTTTAATATCCTTCATTGCAAATTAATGCATGAGAAAATAAAAGCGTGTAAATGTCTAAATTTGAAATAACCCATAATTTGGGCATCGCCCCCAGCATCACCGCACATACTGGGATTTTATCGTCACTCGTGGATACATGAAGGTATTGTGATCCTTCATTACCTGCAGACCCCCACGCTTTGTCATCCAAATGTATGTCTCCAAACCAAATCCCTTTCGAATTTGGGGATTTGCAACCTCATGTGATAAAGTCTTTAAGGGGTCTTCGAATATCCAAACGAAATGATACCTTTGATATAATTGCACATAAGGGGCAACCAAATCTCAGAATGTGAGGTGATGCGAAGGAAACATCCAAATTTGCTTAGAAAGTAACATTTCTAACAAAGTAAGACGTGTAATTATCAAATTTACTACAATTCACAAGTGAAATACATATACTCTTGGGAGCTGCCCAAAATCGACTGCAATTTCCACGATTCCTAACTAAACAGTAAAAGTTATGCTTTTTTTTTCTTAAAAAATTTCCAGATAATATGGTGAGTACTAATTCCCAATAAACACAGCTAAAAGCCTCGAATCACTTTCAAGTTCCAAACAAGCATATTCACAGCAAAATACACCTCAACTGAGATTTTCGCTAAAGGGTTCCAAAATAGTTGAAGTCTTAAAGAATGAAGATTCTCAACTTTTTCAGAGCTCATAGTTGGCAAATAAATAGAAGACGATGAAAACAAGGCTGAAAACGAATCCGCAGAATCTTGATATATGTAGTTTGCAAAGAAATCGAGAGTAAGTGGTCCATAGGAACAAACAAAACCAAAAAATGAAGTGAAAGCAATTCTTCAGTTAAGTTAGATATGAAGGGTCATCATCAAATCCTGTTATGTTTAATTGGAATCGACAAGATCTCCTTAAGCTTAAGCAAAAGAACAAGCGCAATCATTTTTCATTTCAATTATCGAACACTAAGAGCTTCGTTTACCGCATCAAATTATTTAAGACAATTTCTTTTGTTTTAGGAAAAGTACAATTCACTTCAAAGTTACAGTGCTGGCAAAAATTAAATTCCGTTCGCGGAAAAGGGAAATAAATCCGTGTTTGATGTGTCAATCACTCAAAACTTTCCAGTCCGAGTGACTGTGAGAGGAAGAAAAATACCAGTACGAGTACAGGAAATGCAGAACGAAACAGCGCTCAATAACGGAAAACGTGAACACCTCGATGAAATAGAAGAAGAACCTCGTGTCGGCGGACAGTGAGAACCACAACGAAAAATGGCGAAATAACAGAGGATCAGAGTTGAAAAAGAGATGTTGAAACATGAAACGCTCAAAGTAATGATGATATCCTAGTAGAAAAGGTGAACTTTCAGAACAAAAGAAAAATATCAAAATCCTAACCCCTCATTAGCATTTTTTGTTACAAAAATTTCAAAAGCTCAAAGTCGAAACATGGAGAGAGGGCCATAAAGGGAAGCTAAAGGGGAAAAAAATACTTTTTTAATTACTTAATGGCCGGAGCTCATTTCATTTCTATTATTTTTCTTCGGCTTTTTGCTTTGCATGCAGCAAGTAGTCAAATTGGCAGGGAAAGCGTCAAGGAGTTCGAGAGGGAATTGTTTGTATTAGTAGTTGCCGAAAAAAATATTTTCTATCAGACTGTTAGATTTAACAATTAAAAATGGTCACATCATATGATCAGATCAGAAAGTTGCGGGACGGGGAAGGTTCTGTTCAGGTAGTCCCCACCCTACAGTGTGTATTACTTTAATATTTATTTTTTCTTACTATAATTTATGGCGAATTTCTCGAAAATTAATTTTATAATTATTATTTCCCTGTCATAAATCGTTTAAACTTTATTTCTTGATCTAATATATTTTGTAAGAAAACGTGATCCCGCAACTTACGTTAATGTGGGGGTAAGATACGCCTGTGCCTTGAAAAAAATGTAAAAAATTTAGATACTAATTTTATAATAATTTTTAAAATAATGTCTTATATGTAATTAATTTTATTACAGTGATATTTGTGTAAAACATTCAACTTTGTTTATTTATTTTTTGTGTAAAAAAACTTTCTACATTAAAATCTCCAAATATTCTTTTACAAATTATTTTATAACTCGATAAATTTTAATATTTGCATGAAATTACACAATATGTATAATCTGGTATAAAAAACTTTGAGGGTAAGTATTTTAAAATATGAATAATTTTATAAAAATTTTATAACTAATATTTCTTTTATAAAATGATGACGATGATAATGATGATAAATATTTTATAATTTAAAAAATTATAAATTTCATATATTTTTAAAATATTAATTGACTTTAAAATTAATTGTTTAAAAATATAAAATAAATCAAAATAAATTTTTAATTACAATTGAAGGATCAAATGAATTATTATTTATTAATTATTATTTTTTAACAACGGTTGATAATATTTATTCATTTTTAATATTTTGATTTTTGCATAAAATTATATAATACGTATAATATAGTATAGGAAAATTTTGAGGGTAAATATTTTAAAATATGAATAATTTTATAAAAGTTTTATAACTAGTATTTTTTTACAAAATGATGATAATGATAATAAATTTTTATAATTAAAAAATTATAAATTTCATATTTTTGAAAATTTTATTGACTTTTAAAATTAATTGTTTAAAAATATAAAAAAATTAAAATAAACTTTTAATTACAATTGAGAGATTAAATGAATTATTATTCATTAATTATTATTTTTTAACAACATTGATAATGTTTATTTATTTTTAATAAAATTAATTTGATTTTAATTTTATTTTTTAAAATTAATATTAAATAATATTTTAAATAAAAAGGTAATATTTTTTATCTTTACATTCTTTTTTTATTGAAATTTATTCACTTTTAATTATTTTTTATTACATTTTGTTGATTTTTTAAAAAAGTGAATAATAATTCATTTGATCTCTCAATTATAATTAAAAGTTTATTTTATATTTTATATTTTAAAAAATTAATTTTAAAAGTCAATAAACATTATTAACCATTGTTAAAAAATAATATCACATAAAAATAAATAAATTTGACGTTTTTACATAAATAACATCCTAATAAAAATTAATTATATATTAGGCACCATTTAAAAATTATTTATAAAATAACACCCAAAGTTTTACATATTTTAAAAAGCTCGGTGCATGTGTAATGTTTTTCTGCAAATGGTGTTAGTTTAAAAAATAAAATTAAAATAATATATGACAATAAATAATTATTATAAGGATGATTTTTTGAGAAATTCGTCATAATTTTGTGAAGAGATAGAGCTAACAAATCTTATGGAACCCTAGCGTCATTATTGAAGCACGTAGCTCCTCGATCCTGCTCACGAATCCAGCTATATAGAGAATCGGAGTGATTTTTATCTCTCTTAAAATTTTTAATTTAATAATATTTTAAATCTTAAATTTAAGTAAATTAAATTTTTATCATTATCAAAATTTTAAATCAAATACATAATAAGTTTTTATATTTTAAAATTAAATATTTTATTCTTTTAATATTTAATAAGATAATTATGAATAATTTATTAAATATTCATACTTCTAATATTTATAGTTCTTGAGCCCAATATCGAAAGAAACAACAATAATTTTTTTACCGTCTAAATCACTTAATTCGTACTATTATTATTATTATACTTTTTTTATTTAGCTAATATAATTATAAAAGAGTATATATTCTAAATATTTTTAATTATTTTATAATTAATGTTTAATTATTTTATAATTAATGTTTAATTACTTTATTTTAACCGCTAATACTTAAATGACCTCTAATAATAATAACAATTTTTTTAATAATAAATATAAATTGGTTTGTGTCATTACTATTATATTCAATAATCATAAAGGTGCTTTTAATTTCATCAAATAGTGGTCCACTCTAAATTAGATCTATAATCTAGTGCTACGAGTAGGGTCCACTATTGATAGGATGAAGGGTCTGGTGGATTGTTGATCATCAGGATTAGGATATGATGTGACTTTATATATGAAATATCTTTTTAATTTCTGGAAAAAAATCCGCAATTCTATTTAAAAAATTATTATAAAAAATTTAATATAAATTATTAATATATATACGGTGCATAACATATTGTGAATAATTCAGATAATAAAGCTGGAGAAAGTGTGACTTTCTTTTGGGAAATATTGCATGGGATTCCTTGAAAAATCAAGTCCGAACAGTCACTATCTTTAGTCTTTATTTCTTAGTGTAAACTATAATTAGAAACATGCAAATTTTATTCGCTTTATTCACACAACAATATGATTGTTTACAAGAAGAAAGTAAAAAGATGGCAATGCTTTTAATCCCGCGCCCGATATCAAAGTTCTAAAGTCTCTCCACTCCGCTCCAACGCAAACAGTGGAAAGCAAGTATGAAAAAGCGAATATGCAAGAATAATTTGATAATTTTATATTAGGATAAATTATATCATTGATCATTTAGTTATTTAGCCATTTTACTTTTATCATTGATTTTTTAGTTTTGTTAATCAAAACCATTTAATTATTTCAATCAAACCATTAGCGGTAAATGGTTGATAGGAATGCTGATGTGGTTGTTAAAAATAGCATAATTATACATCTAATTTTAATATTTATATATTCTATTATTTGATCTTAAATTAAATAAAATCTAATAAATTAATCATTCAATTAGGATCTAATATGTCATGGTGACAAATGTCACCACCTAATTGAAAGTTTTTTAGTTTTCAATTTTTTAAATTAAATAATTTTTTTCCAATCAAATTATGACATATGTCAACATCCTATTGTAGAAAATTTAAGTTACAATGAAGGTGTAAAATTTGGACGTTGGTACAGACTTGAACTGGGTCACGCAGATGAAGGCCACACGCTAGAACCACTAAGTTAGCATCATCATTTGTATTGAGGAATACACTATAATACATATATTGGTAGTATAACTAATGCAAAAAAAAAAATTATATTTGAAAGTAGGATAGATTTCATATATTTTTTAAATATTAGTTGATACAAGATTTCAAAAAATAAATTTAAGAATTTTATATTTTTAAACTAAATTTAATATTTATATTTTTTTCATATCTATAATTCATTATTATATGTATAATCTTAAATTGAGTATTTTTTATATAATTAGTAATTTTAATTTCTTATTAAAATTAAAATATTTAAAAATATAAAAGACTCATACATATAATTTTAATTTCTTAAATTGAATATTTCTGATATAATTAATAAGTTTAATTTTAAGAAATTAAGTATTTCTGATATAAATAATAATTTTAATTTTTTATTAAAATATAAAAAAGATTAAATAGTTAAAGAGTCAATGACATAGTTACCGTTTATATTATATGTACTGTATACATATAAATATAGTATAATTCTAAATCCATTTATTAGAATAATTAAAGAAATGGTTAATGAGGAGAGAAAGATGAGGGTGTAAGTAAAAGTTTGACAACGAAAACAGATGCGTAGGTGTAGGTGACTTAGGGACGAGATGGAGGATGATGACGATCGCGCATTTTCTGATTGCAGAGGATGATCGTCATCTTCACGTGAATCTCTGAAATACAAAATATAATATACATACATGTCAGTCATCACAGTGAGTGAGGCCATCACAGGAAAGAACAAAATCACCGACAACAGCACATGTGCGTTCCAATATCGAAGCACCACCGTACTTTCCTTCCTTCACCACTCCCATTATATCTCTTCTTCTTTATTTCCCGCCGAAAAAGCAATGTGGAAAAAGAACAAAAGCGGACAAGGATTGTCGCCATTTGTACGGCTCTCAACGTTAGTCCACTTCCTCATTATTTATCTATCAATTTCAACATTTTCAGCCTCGTATAGCTTGTGTACAAATTTTGGATGTAAAGAAACACGTGAAAATGTGTGGGTACAAAAATTTCGCAGTTCAATAGCAGGTTCGCTATGTACTTGGATTATGTTTTGCCTTTTTAAATCAATGAGAACGCTTCATTTCAAGTGGAAAGCCTGGGTTTTTCATCCTGTTTGATTTATTTGGCTTAAAAATTATGAAATATTCCCCCAAAAACTCTGCATCATTGGCAAGTTATGGAATGGACAAGTGGAAAGTTAGATGGCAATTTAGGTTTTGCCTATCTGCATCCATAGATGTTCATACACGTTAGGCAAGGAGATCCTACTGATGTTCGTTCTGGGTATTTAAACAACAAAGAATGCATCAACATAGCGATTACTGGAGAATCATACTGGATCATATAAGCTTCGATTTTCCTCATTTTTATGAAATTAATTTTAATTTTTATGAAAACATTTACATTTTTAAATTCTATTTTTTTCTAAAATAAAATTGTTTTTAATATTTTTAATTGTTCATTACTAATTTTAATTATTCTCACGTATGTTTTTAATAATTTCTTTTGTCATTTTCATCAATTCTAACATTTATCATTTTATTCAAGCTTAAATGTATTGATACTTAAATTAGATACTTCCTATTAAATTAGTATTTAAACATTTTTCATTTCTAGTTGATATCTGAACTAAACACTCTTAGATTGATGTTCAAAAAAAAAAATCAGCTCTTAAACTTTAATTTTATAAGTTATTTTGATAATTTCATCAATAACGTTAACTTCTGATAAATAACAATATAAAATTATATCACACGTTAATAAAGATGTCATCATGTATGCTTTAAAAATATAAAAATAAATATAATTTAAATTTAAAATATTAATTTAAGAAAAAAAATCTAGTTCCCAATTAAAGAGTAAAAAAATCTATTAATTCAAGAATTATATGTATATTTAACCTTTATATTTAAAAAAGAAAGATTAAAGATTCAGGTTAGGGTGAGTAAGACTTAAATCGTAAGAATAAAGTCCATTTGAGTTGTATTGAGATTTAAACCTAAAATAGAATAATATTCTCAACACTAATTCCAAAAAGAAGTAAATAGAAAATCTTTTCCAAGACTAATTCTCCCCCATGGCCTATAAAACCCCATTTCAGCTGCTCAAGTATTCTGAGAAGCAAAACGTGGAATAACCAAGGCAGCTGATCTCTCAATTTTCCCAAACAAGTTACCCAGTTTCTCTTTGCATGCCTTACTCCATGTATGCAACATAAGCTTTCTTAGAACCCTTTTTCCCTTTGATCACCGGAAGATTGGTGATAAATAGTTCGGATTGATGCACAAATACTTCCCTCGTTAAGTGGTTGAAAGGATCGAAGACGCTGCTACCTCGGTTGCCATAGAAACACTGGATCATGGACATTTCTCTTGCACCATCGAAACAAACGTCAATGGAAAGCAATTTAAAGTCTTGAGTGTTTCAGATAACCTGATTGTATCTTCCCGATGCTGGGGAACTAGGATAACTGGAATGGTCTGGATTCTACGGTATTTTTGGCCCAATAAAGGATAACTGGTTTTTTACTTAGCCCATTAGGGCATCTCGGTATTTTTTTTATAATATTCATAAAACTTATCAATTCGAAGTGATGAATTTCAATAAAAATATTTTTATACGAACTCATCATATTAAGGTAACGAGTTTTAATAAAATATAATTTTTTATTAAAATCTATTACATCGAATAATGATTTTTATGTCATTATAAAAATATTGATACTTACCCTATAAGACTAAATAAATAAAAAACTCATAGACCGGGTCAATTTTGCATGAATTCTACCGAGGTTTCAGAACAAAATTACAAGGCTTCACAGGCCCACAAAAGCGGGCCCTACCTAAAAAAACTGAAACTGTTTTTCCTAAGTTCATTCGGACTGGATCTCAACGGTCCAAATATTTTACTATACTTAAATATAATTAATAGAATTATATTTAAATAAAAATATCAGTTATATTATAGAATTCATTGTTAAGTCTATTTCCAAAAATAAATAAAATAAAATCTGGTCAATATAATCAAAATATCTTATCTGATTTAAATCTATTGAGTTATTAGTCATAAAAATGTATTGAATTATTATTTATGTTTCTATAGTCTATTATTTATGTTCAAGATACAAGCTTAACTTGAAGGGTACGATCCAACCACCATCATGAATTCCTAGCACCTGCTGGATGCTCCACCGCAAGAAGATAATAATGATGCATGTCACCTATTCATATACAACTTAGATCGAACAAGGTTGATGGGACAATCACATATTCTAAAATTTTAAATTTTTATATAACTTACATATTTTTTTTTGTATTTTTATTGATAATTCATTTTTAACTTTAAAATTTTATAAGTTTGATTCTTTTAACATAAAATCATATATATATTTTAATGTTAGATTTTTTTCTCATACGAACATATATCTCATTCTCGTTGGACCAAACAATCTGTTGGTTGCTATGGGGCGAACTTTGTGGCGAGCCATGAGGGTTGGTCTTTACTTATTAAGTTATTTGATAATGCTTGATGTCATACCTTTAAATGGTGGGTAGGTCGGTCTCAAAAAATGTAGAGGTCATATATTATTTTTTCAAAATAGGTTCTTAAAATATTTTATACGAAACTGTAAATTGTTATAATTTGTCTGATTGTTTCTTATAAAATAAAAAAATTCAATTATATGAAATTAAATATTCTTCACTAAATTTTCTTTACGTATGCGTATAATAGGAATATATTTTTTAGTCAATAATTCTTTTAAAGCGTAAGGTTTTTAAATTTTGAGATTCTTTAACGCATCACAAATTACATTTACTCCAAGAGAAACGTAGACATATTGTCTAGTAGAATGGAAGAGCACCCGACCTACAAGAGAAATAAATATATGGAATCATCAATACCGTAGAGATAAAAATAAATTAAATAATGACTAACAGTTGAAATTCAATTTTTTTCCTTCCAATTAACTTGAAAAATAAATTTTTGAATTAACAGAGATGGGCGGAACTAGACATTTTAATTGGAAGGACCAATTATTGAAAACAAATTTAATAATAGTTTTATTTATTAAATCTCATATATTTTTATATAATTTTATTAAAAAAATGTAGATTTATTAGATTTTTTTATATAAATTATCCATTAAGACCTTCTTGAAAGAAAATGAAATTAAATTATAGTAGTAGGTTTTGACATTCAAATCGTAGATGAAACAAGTATTGAGAAAATCAATATGAATTTATTTTTACTTATAGAATAAAGTAAGAGCCTAAAAGTGTTTAAATTATTACGTGAGATAGTTGAATTTTTTAAATTTTCATCCATTAAAATATGAAGAAAATTTGAATTTTGGTCTCCTCTAGTATAGTTTTTCTTATTTTATTTTATTTCAAAGTAACTATAAAAATAGAAGAAAATAAGAAAATCATGAGTTGAGAAATATAAAAACAATATTGAAATAAAAACGTGATAATATTAATTTTTTTATAGAAGCAAATAATTTTATTAAAAATAGAAAGTATCACAAATTACAATAAAGATTTACAATCACAATCGTAAATTAAGTACATAATTAAGAAAATTTCTTATAATCATTGAAACAAAACTAACAACTTAAGAACACATAAGAACTATACAAGGAAAGATTAAAAATCAAACCAAGAAACTCGAACAAAGATAGATACAAACAAATCTGATCATATCGGCAAACGAACCGCAAAATGAGATCAAGCTATTGAAAAACCATCGACGAACCACAAATTATACTCAAACAATGTGAAAAACTATCCACGAACGTAAATCGATTATCCAAATCCAATATGAGGGTCAAAAGCAGGGAAAATCAACAAGAAATCATATAAGCGCCATATTGGTCAATCATGGCGATGTCAAATAAACCTTTAGATAAAAGATAAGTGAAAAAACAACCAAACAACCGAAAAACATGCATAAAAGCATAAGAAAACTTGTTATAAAGGCAGATGAAAACGTGTCATAAGGGCAAACTTATTAAAATAAAAAATAAAATAAAATAAAGATACAATATAGAAGAAAATGATAATAAAGAATACTAATGGTTGACAACCAATATTAAAGTTGATATCGTCGTCGATCAAAAAATACGAAAGATAAAAAGATGAGCCGCACACCAATCACATAAAACTAAGTTTTTTTCTTCAATAATTGATAATATTAAATTTATAAGTATAATAATTAAATATTATCAACGTTTTTTTAGATGTAAGCTACTAGAAATAAAAACATTAATATTTAATAAATAAGTTTAAATCAATATATTTATGATTTTTATTTATGAGAATTCAAATTATATATATATAAATCTTATACTTTTAAAATATTAATTTAATTTCATTTATAAATATATAAGGATGTATGTATGTTAATATGAAATTTTAATAATTTGAAAAGAACAAAAAAAATTCTAAATATTCTAAGTGATATAAATAAAATTTTTTAAAAAATTGAGGGGTCTTATAAGAATTTTGTCAAATTTTGAGGCATGTCCCCCCTCTAGTTCCTATGTAGTTTCGCCTATCACGCAAATGAATTAGTTTTTCTCTGGTTACGTTTGTCTATTAGTATTAATTTTTTCACACAAAAAGATCAAGTGGGTATTCTCCGTAGAATTTGAGTATAAGACGAAAAATAAAATTTTTTGAGTCTGGGCTATAGCAGTTGTTGCCCCACGCTCCTTGTAGAGCGGTAGAACTTTTACTTCATTTTTTAAGCACAACAAATTTGTACATAAAAGGGACATAATAACTAATATTTTGATTTTGTTTACATTCTTAAGATGTGCAAATGAAATACTTTCAAGGCGTAATATATATATAAATCAAAAACTTAATTATTAAACCCATTGAGTTAATTGTTTCTTTTGAGAATTTTAATTATCATACAGTTTAGTTACTTTTATATTTTTATTCATAAGATTTTAAAAATAAATATTTTTTAAATTTAAAAGTTCATCCGGTTAACATAAAATTATATGTTTATCTTTTATCATTATTATAATGGTTCTCTATAAGATTTAGCTACGTATAATATAAAGATGGGTTTAAAATCCCAAAGGATAGCCGCTTTTTATTACAAGTATTTTACAAGATACATCTTGAAACAAGACTTAAGCCAGCCATAGGAAGGTACAGATACTGTACCCATCATTTTCATAGCAAATTTATTTTAATTTTCCCATCTAAGTTGAACCCTTTGAAACAAGGGCTAAAGGCCGAAAGAAAGAAAGAAAACAAATCAATACATATACAAACTTAACCCTAGATTCCAAATATTTTTTGACCACTGTCTGTCTTTATTTCTTTTATTCTGCCTTGAAATACAATCTAAAGCTTGAATTGATGGAAAACAAACAACCCCATGTGGGTGGTTGTTTGCATTAATATGTCCATTCTTGAGGTAGACACATTTCTTGAAGGTTCATAGCCGGCGCTGCCTTGGACGGGCCCTTGTGCAGTGAATGCTTGTTATGATTCCTCCCACTTCCGCAAGCATCTGTATGGAATAAAAAAAAAGTAATTAGATTGCCAAATGCTAAAAGCTATAAAGATGACAAAATTTGCTTGGTGTTGGATCAGTTTGGCTACCGTGTTGTGGAGGGAAACCACTATTGTTGGACCTTGTTGGAACACCTGTTTTCTCAAAGTGGAGCTTCAGTGCCTGAACTACTCTTGCTGGAATCAGAACTGTGGCACATCCTGATCAAAACAGACCAAAATCCAGGTATAAAATATCTGGCCCCAAAAATCCCAAAACTATCATGGTCTTAAGTATTTTTTTTCTATAAAAAAAATCGAATTTTGATATTATGAATGGAGAGTAACATGCAAATAGACTAAACTGGGGGACCAGGACAAGGACAAGGGAAGATTCCACTTCACATTAATCAAATCTTGGACGCTAGCTATGGAGGAAAGATTTGTCGAGGAAATGGAATCTGAGAACACGGGTGGGAATAAAAAAAAACCATTTACCAGAATCCCAGGTCAGATGTCTCGAAAACCATAATTCGGAAAACAGGATAGTTGATAGTTCACTGAACACTTAACCACTCCCCCCAACAAATCCAACCAAACCTTTGCCTAAATCCTAAAAGTAAACTTTCAATTACTCACGAACCAAAAAGTCAAAAATAAATTAAAAAAAACTAATGAAAGGTACTTTTTTTGGGACCTTGTTTCTTGCGTGACTCGGTAGGGTTTCCTCCTATTCCACGAGGCAAGAAAACCCCGGTTCCACTAGAACCACTTCTTGAACCGGATGCATTGAGGAAAACCGCCCTCATGTGTGAACCGGTCTGTTGGTTGCCCTGTTGTAGTTGTTGCGGCTGGGGCAGATTATACCAGGGATTATTAGAGTTAGGGGCAGCTTTATGGCCATTGTTGAACCCACCAAGAACTCTTCCTCTGCCTTGATGGTAATGCTTAGTTCTCGGCTTTTGCAACTTCTGTTCCGTTTGCTTCATAGCTTGCTCTTGTTTAAGCCTGTAGAACTGTGAGTTATATGAAGAAAATTAGAGCCGTTTCATTTGTAAATGAATTCTAAATGGAGAAAAAACAGGTAATGATTTTCGTTCTTACTTGGATTGCTCTTATTTGATCATCGATAAGGGATTTCTTTGCATTCAGGTTTCCTCCAGAAACTTGTATTGAATTGGATGTAGTTGAAAATGGCTCACCCTGGTTATATCTTGCTGTTTCTTCATTTATCTTCATCTTTTCAAAATTCTCAACCATGGGTGTCAATGGAGGAGATGGCTCCCTAGATGGTCCAACAGGACTATTAAGGTTCGAGCCAAACTGTGACCACAGCGTTGATTCTGGTGAACCAGGCAAATCCCATGGCTAAAAACCAACAGAAAAAAGTGGAGAGGCGGGGGGGAGAGATCAGTTTCTAAAGTAAAAACCAATCGAATCTTTGGTATTAAGACCATGATCAAGAGGATGGAATACCTTTCCAACTTTATCTTCATCAGGAAGCATGTACTGAGCCATCTGTCGAGTCAACTCACCAATGTAATCGTCTTCTTCTTCTTCCTCCTCCCGGCTGCTCTCTGTGGAGCTAGAACACAGCCGATCAGACCCAATAGGTGAACTCAACTCGGATCCGAGGTGATCTTCTTGAGGATTGTAAAGCTGAGAAGGAAGCAATAACTCACGGTTGTGTAGGTCAACAGTCATCATTAAACGAAACTACAAAGCTTTTCACTTTAAAGTGGATACTGGAAAATAAAAAATCAGGTGAGTGGGTTGATGATCTGCTATTATGGATGTCGCTGGTTCGACAAGATACAACTATTACCTGATCTATCACACATGAACACTGAAAAGAATAAAAGGGAGCGAAATAAATAAAGAGAGGGTGGGGGAGAGAATCCTGTGGGAACTTTTTTAACTGACGCATTAAGGAATGCGAATATGGAACTTGGGTCCCTTATAGGGTTCATTTTGAACATAAAGACATAATAAAAAAACAAGACAAATTGTGCAAAGAAAGACTCATATAATGTTTTCCCCTTTCATTTTGTGTTATATGTTGTTGGTTCTTGCAGGTACGACTTTAAACTTGTCAATTTCCGCAAATTCGCCTCACCTGCCATTTGTTAGGGAGTTGCCCTCTGAGTTTATTTTTAAAAAATCTACTTTTTTATTCATATTAATGTTCAAAATTTAAATACAAAATATAAACAAGTTCGATTAAATTGAGTTTGTTAAATTAAAATGAAATATAATTAATAATTTATTGATTAATTAATTCAGATAATTTTATTCACAATGTAGGATTCAAACTATTAATATTGTTTAAGAAATATGCTATCTCAATCCCACTATATCAATTGATTGTTGGTAGAAATAACATGTTAAATTTCTTATTCTGAAATTCTATGTAGAGAAGATAGGATTAAAATAAGGTTTAATACAAAAATAAGTGTCTAAATTACACCGAGATTTACTTTTGGTGCCAAAAGATTTATTTTTGTTAAGAATATGTGTCTAATATTTTCTCGGTTACACTTTTAGGTGCCTATCGTTAAAAACATTAAGTGACACGTGTCAAGTTTATATTTTTAAGTTTTTAAAATGAAATATTATTTAAAAATAATTTAAAAAAAACTAAATGTGACGTACACTTAACGATTTTTTTAACGGTAGACACCTAAAAGTATAACTGAGAAAATATTAGGCACATATTTTTAACAAAAACTTCTTTAGACACCAAAATTCAAGTTCGAGTATAGTTTAGGCATTTGTTTTTATATTAAACCTTAAAAGAATTATCTGAATATCTGATCAAAATTATTAGATTAATAATTAAATATCGATAATTATGGAAATTTGAAATTTGGGGTTTGGAGGGATTGTTGTTTCCACAAACAAGAGAGAGGTTAATATGGTAGACTGAGGAATGATGATTGTACTTCTCTTCTGTCTTGACATACAGGAGTATAAACAGAACCATTTTATTCCATTTGTTATCCAAAACAAAGATTGGGACAAATTGGACTTTGTTAAAAAGAGGAGATTTTCACACACGAAAGCAGAGAGAAAGAGGAGATTTTCCCTCCTCTTTATCTTATTTTCTTTAGGGTTTAACAATTATTCAAAATAAAAAAAAAGAAGGTGATCAATTGGGGTGGGTGAGAACGAAGGGAGGATTTCTTTTTTCGAGAAAGCAGATTTTGGTTGGAAATGTTATCTTTAGTTTCCACGAGCTCAAGTGCTTGCCTCCATTCGAGACCAGAGCTCGAAAGTTCATTTTTGGGCCGGCTTTGACCCAAGCACGGACCGAAATGGATTGGGCTCTTCAGGTTTTCATTTGGTTTTGAATGGTTCATGTTTTAACGACTTTAACAGTCTTTACAGTTTTGCTGCTACCGTCCGGTATGGAGCTTTAGTCCCGTGAAGCTGCTTATCGAGTTAATCACGAGTTGAGCAGTATTTTATTCAATTAAAAAAATTATTTGATTTATATTTAATATCTGATGGATTCGATAAATTTTTGTTTAATTTGTACTCGTTTAAAAAAATTATTGTTCTATTCGACTCATTATTAGTTAAATTCACCATAATTTTTATCATTTATATATGTAAGATAAGATTCACTTACAGTTAAGAGTTTTACACATTTTAGGATCATTGGATTAAAGAAAATCAAAGGTTGAAATTAACTCATTGTTTTTTTCCCATTGAATATCTTCTCATTTCCTACTATTAATCTCAATATTTGATTTCTCTCATTCAGTGATCCTAAAAAGGACACACACTAGCAAAAAAAAAATGATCAAAATAGTATGTGTAGCAATTCTAAAGTCTTAACTCCAAAGTAACAATTCAAAAATATATCAAACTAACATATTACAACAATTCTTGAAAACAAAAGAAGATTAACAATACATAATCAATTCTAAGACAATCAATATCCTACAAATTATTTAAAAAAATTAACAAGATCTCAGTCCTACAAATTATCAAACTTGAACTTTTTCGAGTTAAATTGACACTTGATCGACTTGACTCGTTAAGGTCTCAGTCGTACTCGAATTCAAATCAAATCAACTAAAATCAAACATTGACCGAATTTTGATCAAATCAAACTCGAATTAGTTGTGAATTGCTCAACTCAATTATCACCTATAGTCAGGGACGAACGCAAGTTTTTATGTTGGGGGGACGAACTTAAACTTAAGGGGGCGAACTAAAATTCCAAGGGGCGAAAACACATTTTTTCAATAAAAAATACATAGAAAAAAATCTAAAATATATGACAAATTTAAATTTTACGACTGCCCCCACCGGGGAGCCTTCAATCCATCCCTACCTATATCTTGTCACCACGTGTTATCTACTTGTATTTTTATTTATACCTAATCCCTAAATTCCGAGAAAGTCTCACGTGCGGCAACCTTAATATACGGCTAAGGAAAGACGCTATTGGTTTTGTTATTATTTAAAAAAAAATGGTAAACAATTACGGGAAACATTATTATTTCTACCGGTTTTGTTATTATTTGACGCTTTACCGGTTTTGTTAACATATCTGGTAAAGTGCTACCTAAATATTATTTTTTCTTCCGGTTTTGTATTTGACACTTTACCAGAAATGTTAAAAAACATTAATGTTTTAGGTAAACTTTTACCGGTTTTGTTAAAAAAAATAATAACAAAACCGATAGCGCCTTTTCTTAGTCGTATATTAAGGCTGTTGCACGGTAGAACTCCCCCTATATCCATGCCAATTAATTTAGTTGAGTTGTTATTCATAAGTCAAATTTTAGTGAGGATTCGTTATTGTCCTAATTGTAAGTTGCGGACTCAATGTTTATACTTTAATTTGATATTGATCAGTTTTCTAATTTTTAATTTTTTGATATTTTAGTTTTTAACTCATGATAGATGATTAATATAATTAAACTATATAATTAAAAATAATCTAATTAAGAGTAAAAATTAAAATATTTTAAGCATAGTATAAAGAATAATAATAATTTTTAACTTTTCAAATTAAGATTAAAATCAAAACTTTATCTTGCCGACGAGGTTCCTTGGCTTTCTTCTTGTTGTCAAGAGGCTTTCAATTGAGATTGTAGCCCGTTGTTTGACTGTTTTGTTCAAAGACTTCAAAGTTGAAGACAACTTTCTTATGCGGAGAAGCGTCAGTTGATCCAATCAATTCTATTTAGTGTTCAAGCTTTTTAGAGCAAACATCTTGTGTTAGGATTGCTACTGATAGAATAAACCAATTTATGCATGATTCTTTTGGAATGCTGAAGATAAGTCCGCGAAGGGTGCTCGGATTAGTTGATCGTCGATTTGTCAGCCTAAATCTCAAGGGGTTTGAGGATTAAAGACATTGGTTATTGGAATCATGTTTGCTTGTTTTTTCCCCCTTTTGATTAGGAATATTCTTTTTAATAATGATTCGATTTGGGTTGCATGGATTCATTTGTAAGTGTTGCAGGATTATTATTATTATTATTATTATTATTATTATTATTATTATTATTATTTTGCAGGCTTCTGAATCCTTTTGAAGGGTTTGAGTGTAGTTGCGTTTGTTGCAGTTGTGGACTAAGGCTGCCTCGATTTCCATCATTTGGAATGCCATACGTGCATGGCGACAATGCTCCTTGAGATAAATTGGTGTGGCATTCATGTCACATTTCGAGGATTTCGGTCATCACTCGGATGGCAGTTTTGGATAGACTACCAACAAGAAGTCGACTTATTTCTTTTGGCTTCAATATAGAGGGAACTTATGTTTTGCTTGAACGAGTTTGAGATTTGTGATCATTTTTAAGGTAAATTACACGTTAGTATTTAAACTATCAGTTTGGTCAATTTTAGTACGTAAAATTTCATTTTTTTTTTCAAAATCATACATAACATTTAGTTTTTTGTTTCATTTTAGTAACCGACGGGCTCACCGACCTTTGCATCTACAATCGTCGGCTGTTGCATTCGCAGACCAATAAAACCCAAACTTTCTAGCTCGCACATTTTCGACCCCCTGAACATGATTTCGGCCTCCGTTTTACCAGAAAATGCCTCAATCTTTCCAAATAAATGATAAACTCTTTGACTTCTTTTCTTGCGGTTCATCGTTCGGATTTGTCGGTCGTCCACTGGAGCTATGCCCCGTTAGCTCATTTGTTAAGTTTTTAACGACGGGTACTAAAATGAAATAAATACTAAACGTTAGATATGATTTAAAAAAATGAAAGTTTAAGTATTAAACTAGACTAAAATTGATAGTTTACGTACTAAACACGAAATTTACCCTTTTTATTGTGCTTATTCTATATATATAAATAAATACTAAACGTTAGATATGATTTAAAAAAAATGAAAGTTTAAGTATTAAACTAGACTAAAATTGATAGTTTACGTACTAAACACAAAATTTACCCTTTTTATTGTGCTTATTCTATATATATTTGGGAGTGGTTTGTGCATGCTTGTGGTTTGTCTATACCCATTTTACGTTTAGATCAAGAACTAAGCCGGGCTTGCATGAATGCTAAGGGCAAGTCGTTGCTTTCGATGGTGTTTCGTTTGGCATGAAATGATTGTATTGCCTTGATTTGGAAGGAAAGGAACAGGCGTTTTTTTGGGTGGCTTGAGGTTGATCTGGTGGCCTGCCTGAAGGATGCTGTTCGTTGGAAGCTGGGCAGCTTGCACGGGGTTAAGGGAAGGCATTTAAGCAGGGAGTGTAGTGTTGAATTTGGGCTGCTTATTTGTACATGTATAGTATAAACTGTTGTACAGGGATATCTGATTTCTTTTGGATACAAAAATCTGTATTTATCCACACAAAAAATGAACTATTAAAAGACTAAAATAGAATTGACCTTATTTAAACCCACTCAATTATTATTTGGGCTTAGATGAGTCATCGAGTGTATATTTAAACAAATTTCAGCCAAACATGGTAAAAATGCAACAGTAGATTTAGCTTTCTTGCTCAGTGCCACATGAAATATGTGGGTTTTCTATGTCCACTGGTCTTTCATTTTTTGAATTTCTTGTGAAATGTCATCTGAATGTATGAATAGTGGAAAAAAGACACCGCTTGTATTCTAATTCTTGCTGTTCTACTTGCAAACATAGCAAAAAGACTGCATCTTTGATACAGAATCTCAAGCATATGATGTTTTACATTTAAAAGGGAAAATGGCCTAATTTTCCATCAGTTTCTCAGCCCTCATCTCAGAGCTGAGCTACGATGTAATTTAGAACTTCTCAAGCTTCATTCCCAGATTAAAATCATGAAAAAAACCGAAGATATTACTGAAAGGATTTGTGAATCCCAAGTGCCGGAAACTTATTCATGCTTCATGTTCTTCCATATGATCACTTGGAGGATTCAAATGCATAGGAAAGTAAGGGTCTAATAATAAAGGGAACCTGCAGAAATCCGAAGTCAAGTGTTTTAGATGTTGGTATTAGTTCTAAATGCGTATTTCAATTGATTATCAATTTGAAGCTTTCAAGTAGATCAATATGAGTACCTTGCCACCAATTCCCTCTAGAAACATCCATTGAATTGTTTCCATTAGGGTCATCTTCTCCCCCATCCTTCTTAAACTATATTCATTCACAAAATATGGAACTATTAAGTACTTTCATACACACATGTATCACAAAACTAGTTTTTACATCAGAATTTGATATGTCAAGACTCACAATTGGATATGGTGTTGAAGTTCGGCCACTCGAGGGATGGGAATATGAGTCTCGGCCACCATAGTAAAGAGATGAACTAAAATGGCATGGTTCCACCCTTTCTTCCTTGTTCGGTAGTTGATCTGCAATAATAATAATCAGACAATGTTATCAGGAGAGCAGTGCTCTAGGCACCAGTAAAACACTAGCTAAGCAGATCCGATTGATATCATCGGTCCGTGAAACAAAGGCTCAAGAGGGGCAGTAAACATATGGAAGAGTTTTAAAGTGAAAAATGATAATAGTTCTGTTGATGATGAATACAGAAAAAACTCGGGTTATGTTCTATATATATACGGTGGGGATCAATAACCTTGCATAGGCTGTTTTGGCCAAGATTCTAACACCTTAGAGCCTGAGGAGTTCCTCCCCCCAACCTGAAATTTAAGACATAGAAAGCTTCCGATTAGACTAGGAATACTTTCTTATGCAAAATAGAAAATATTTAGAGGTTTTATAATCACACATGTACAAAGTCAAAAGAGAGCCTAGAAATGAACTGAAAAAATTAAAAACATAACAAATGCAATCACCAAACATAGAACAGTATGTATATACCGAAGTTGGAGGTGAAAAAATGGAGCTGAAGATCCCTTTTGATGGAGATGCTGATGAGTCTTTGGAGCCAAAAAGATCAGCAGCGAAGGAGGAAGAAGAACCAACTTGTCTCTTAGTCTCCATTGCTTTTGTCTTCCTTGAGCCCTGAATTCCCAAGTCAAATAAAGGTGAGGAAACTAATCAAATTCAGTGTACCAGCACCCTGCAAGAAAAGACTGCCCTAGTTGAAAGGAAAATAGATAAGATTTGCTGAGAAAATACAATGGAAAATCCAGCAGTGCACGTGAAGATCACAGTATATGAGAGGGGTGTACCTCAAACTCTCTCTCAAATACCATCATATATAAATATATATATATATATATACAGAAATTAATTGACATTTGCAGTCCACCCCATGTGCCTATCATCATCAAACCAAAAAAGGTATTCTATGACTATACTTTATGGCAAAAAATTCTTATTCTATGACTATACTTATATGGCAAAAAAATCTTTATTTTTTCTTTTAAAATCAAAAGATGTGAAGGAATTTCCCCCCAGAAGCTTCCTCTAATGCAAATTTGGTTCTCTGCATATAATATTAATCTTACTTTTTTTTCCCAACTATAAACATGAGGGATAATACAAGTAGCACGAGTGGTCCACTTGGTATCCCAACTGGCGCACCATTTACTGCCATATGTACTCTAATGGATAAATGTAGCCTCCGTTGCCCTATAGGGTCAAAAACAAACCCAAGTTAATCATCTTTCTTGACCCTTCCCTTTTTCTTGTGAATAGTGCCCCTTCATGTCTTTCCCTTTTCACAAGGGAGGTATATGCTGGAGATTGAGGAAAAAGTCGCAGATATTAAATTCGAATTTATTTCTTAATAGATATCATATCATTTTTAAGAGCTATTATATGGATTAAGAGTGTTAAACTCAAATTCAGAGAATAAATTCTTTGAATTTAGCTTTTTAAGTTGAAAGAAATATATATTATTTTGACCTACATGACAATAAGATAACTAGATAAGGTTGTATAATTTCTCCCCACTCAACCTTTCTCCTCCATCGTGCCCTTAATAGTTGACCTTTAATTATTCTTTTTTAATCACCGAAGTTGATACTAAAGTGGTACTCGAAACTACCCGACTAATCAGATATCGTTTGTATTTTGTCAGGAAGATTACTAAAAGCCGTCACCAAATACCCTTTCCCTCGTCTGCTTTCCTTTTGAGCTGTCTGTCACTAGATGGGTTCAATGAGAAGAATTAAGAAAGTGTCCAGAGGGATAAAAGATTTTCTTATCCAAATCTCCTACTGCTTTTCGGAATAGTTTTCAATTGGGGGATTCTGAGCTATAGTGTGAAGTGGGGTCCCGATCACATATATCACAAGTAGGCCTGTAAACGAACCGAACGCACACGAACAGATGTATGTTCATGTTCGTTTATTTAAAAAATAAATGAACATAAACGAACACGAACATAAGCGAACACATTTTTTTTTGTTCATGTTCGTTTATTAAGAAATATAACTTGTTCATGTTCGTTCATTTAATAAATAAACGAACATAAACGCGCACGAACATAAACGAACACGAACATAAATGAACACGAACATAAACGAACATAAACGTTGGAGACCCTACCTAGGGGTGTAAACAAGTCAAGTTGAGCTCGAGTATTGCTGAGCTCGACTCGAACTCGAAAACTTTTAAAGTCAGCTCGGCTCGACTCGAAAACTCGCGAGCTTAAAATTATCAAGCTCGACTCGAACTCGAAATATAATATTGAAACTCGACTCGAACTCGAAAAGGCTCTAACTCAAAAAATAATTAAGAGCTCGATTAAAACTCGAGACTTGAGCTCGATTGAAGCTCGATTCAAGCTCAATTCTAAGCTCGATTCAAGCTCGACATTGCCCCAAGTGCAAAGATGCTTAAACCTATTATCCCCCATCTTCTTTTATATAAGTTACCAACCCCGAGCTACTTATTTGCTACTGATATGGGATTGCATAATGTTCCTCCACTTTCTTTCTTCCTATCTCATTCAACAACAGTCGAGATGAACACAGATTGTGTTTTATGTGATTGCCGACCTTAATCCTTGGGGATCAAATAAACATGTCCTTAGCTTCGTGCTATGTAGAAGTTGAAAATTGGGAAATGAGAGAAGTAGGTTGGCTAAACTTCCATATCCGGATGACGCACAAAATTTGTTTGATGAAACGCGTTAAAGAACTTCTCAACCTATGGAATAAGGCCTTACCATTATTGGGTTCTTGAGTTCAAAGTAAGCTGACTTGAGTTACTGGTTGATCACTATTTACTTGTAAATTCGAATACTCCATTATAAATGAAAGAAAAGAAGATTATTTGAGTAGAAGAAACGATACTTAATACTTAACATCCCTTCCGGAATCCATCACCTTTGGACTTGGTTTCGAAAGCAACCGGTTTCTGGGACTCCTCTTTGCTCATCGGATAACCAGCTGGTGGTGCAGTCACATAGGGTTCCGGCATAGTGGATGTTGACGGTGCTGGGTATGCAGCTTATGGATCGTTCAAAATGAACTAAACCATATTAATATTGTTGGGTTTTCCAAATAAAATTGGGTTAATTATAGAGTTGGTCATCAGAATATCAAATTAATTAATATTTTTAAGATACTTACAAATTGATCACCAAAATTGATTTAAGAAGATTGGGATAAACATAAATGAATGAACATAAACGAACATAACCGAACGAACATAAACGAACATAACAGAACGAACATAACCGAACGTTCACAAACATAAATGAACGAACGAGACCTATGTTCAAGTTCGTTCATTTAATTAAACGAACACAAAATCTTGTTCATGTCCGTTCATTTAATAAATAAACGCACATAAACGAACTTCCCGCCGCACGGTTCATGAACGGTTCGCTGAACGTTCAGTTCATTTACAGGCCTAATCACAGGCAAATTACATGTTATTTAAAAAGCACAGTTGGTGCTGTTTTAGGTCTAAACTAAGGTAGTTAGGATCATTTCAGCCACGATGATTTCGTGTTGGGAAGTTATGGATGAGATAGCAAGCTGGAATTTTGTTCGATGATAGCTTGAATCTTAAGTCTCATCGTGTTGAAAAGATTCATGTAACTAGTAAATTCTATCGATTATTATGGTTTTTAAAAACAGAATTTGATCTAATTATTTTAATAAATAGGTACATGACATTCTAAGTTGGGGGAACTCCTCAATGACACAGACAACATGAAGACCATTCAATATCTGAACATGTGCTTCTTCCTTGTAAAACGTTGGTGCCTTAACGCTGTGGGTGTCCGGCACCCCTATGTGCCTGGTGCCTGAGATCTCTCCCCTCTAACGCCCCCAAAAAACATGAAAGATCGAATCAAAGAAGGAAATAGATATCGCATAATATGAGTGCAATGCAATTTATTCAGTGCATTTGTTGATTGGAAAACTGCATTACTAGCAAATCATTGATTGCATTGAGTAAAAAACTAATCACATCGGAAAAAATAAAAAATAAAAACTATTCATCAAATATTACAATTCACAAGTCTTGGTCCTCACCGAAACAGATAAAGAAGATATGCATCGAGACACTAGGACACTCACCTAAGAGATAATACATTTGAGTGAAGAAGAGGCACTTGTTCAACCACGGTAATGACTGATGCCAAGCCGGGGTAAGTTTAAGTTGATGGTTTCATAGCTCAACTAATTCAGCTAGCTGCATGCATACATAAACCTTTCTTAATGAGTTAGAACTAAACTACACTAAAAACTGTTGACTCATTGCCCTGGTTATAACTGTTATTTCTTAAAATGAAAGAAAGAAAACTCAAAAACTGGAAAGAGCAAAGGTCCCTCTACAAACCTCAGCATCTGCCAAAAATTTCTTCCGGAGGATCGTAAGCATGTTTTTCCGGAAAGAGCTCCTCGAAATCTTTCTTAACTTTGTTCCTTAAAAGAGGATGCGGGAGAAGCCCTTTTAGTAAAATCCTGAACGGTAACTCCTCCGGTGGATCTGGAGATTTAATCATATCCTCGTATATGTTCATTGCATCGGCAGGAGATCCGTCCCTCAGGAAGCCCCTAATGATCTCGGTGTATGTCTGAGAATCAGGAAACAGATCTTCCTTTCTCATAGATTCCCATAACTTCATTGCTTCATCCATTTTCCTACATTTCGCTAATGCAATAATCAAGTCCTTATACAGAAAGACGTCAGGTTTATACCAGTCCTGCTTTTGAATCACCTCAAAAACCTGGAAATTCAGCAAAAATAAAAATCCAAGAAGATGTCATAACTCAGAAACAACCTTATCTACTTCACTCAGGGGGAAACAACCCGATTAAGTTCACTTTTTATGTCACATTATAAACACCCATTCTCATTCTCAAAAACTATATAAAGGAAATATATATTCAATTTCTCAAGGTAAAACAGCCCGGAAATTCAATGCTCACCAAGAAAATATCAAAATCTTTTTCGAGCATTTGATCGAACAGAATAAAAGCAATCTCAATTCACTTTAACCCAAACAACAATAACGAATCCCACAGATTTAAGATAAACCCAATTAAGAAAAATTAAAAAGAATTAATAAGAGTGAAAAATGCGAGTACCTTCACAGCCAGAGAAGTCTCCTCTTGGCGTTCAAGCTCTGAGAGAACCGCAATCAAATCCATCTTCAATAGCCTTAAAACATGGGTTTTAATAAATTTTTGAAGTTTATCTTCATCATCCTTAAATCTTTTTAAACCCAATATTACAAAAAGGGCTTCTTTCCCTATCAGCTTTTTACCTCTCCAAAGGGGACCTCTTGGTCTCCCATCATGATAGTGCTTAAACCCTGAAATTGGTTTGTGGAAAACGGGTAGGGGAGGTGAAATTTGAGGTTTTCGAAGAAACGGGGATCTCGTTATGCCATTTTTTGTGAGGTTCTGAAGGAGGATCGCCGTTAAAATGGGGAACTTCGATTTTGAAAAGGCGCGAGTTGTCATTAGAGCTGGAAGAATACGAGAACGTTAAGGGTTTAGGCGAAGTAAAATGCTCTCAAGTCCAAGCAATGAGAAATGGCGCGTTTTGAATATGGAACGAAAAAATAGCACGACAGATCTACCTGCCTTTACGGGGGGCATTTGATGTTTGGGTAAACAATTAACAATTAACAATTAACAATTATTTAATCTTTGAATCAATCGTGCCACATGTCACAATTTAATTGGAGAGTTTAATTTATTTTAATTTAATAATTTTATTTTCCACCAACTAGAGGGTGACAATTCAACCACGGAACCAAGCAAAGAT